TCTTCAGTGACACCATCGTCAAACACTGTATCACTGGGTCAGAGGAGAGAACAAAAACAATCAATCATTAGAGTTAAGTTAGGTTGCAGTTACACATATAGTTTATTTTCTTTAGTTAAGTTTCTTAAGTTGACTCTGGACTGAAGATGTAGATTTGAATATTTGTCTTGTCTTCTCTTGTAGAAAGAGTTTGGAGGGTGCTGGTGTAACTTATTCATTATTTGTATATGCTTTATACATTAGCCGCTCTATTTTGCTCTTATTGGATTTGAACAGTTTTTCTTTAATATCAGAGCGTTATACTGGACTGAAATAAATCTCTTAGATTTTCATACTTGTAATACCAGCATTAAGTAGCTGTATAATTTATATGAGTTCTGAGTTTATATTGAGAATTAAAATTTTCTTTTACTTCTGTCGTCAAACTTAACAGTAATTAACAATATATCGTAGATAACCTCTCAAAATTGTTCTATTTTAAGGGAGTCTAACAGTTCTGACTTTATTCTCAAAATTCTGATTATAAAAATTTGCACTTAAAACTGAGAAAGACTGGTAAGGAGTCATCATGTTGATATTAAAAATTATTTACAGAGAAATGTTCAAATATGTCTAGAAATAAAGAATTGTAGATTAGATCATGGTTATAGCATTTCTTTGCAGGAAAGATAAAACTCACCACCTCCCACAAATCTTCCGAATGGCGTCTTCGTGTTTATGAAACAGTGGAAACCAGAAGGTCTTCCACAAAGATGGATAAAAGTTTGTGGAGGGAGTCTAATTTATACAGAAAATGTAGCAGATTATGACAGGGGCGTGTCCATAGGGGGGCGATTCTGATTGGCCACCCAAGGTACCACCTCATCATCCTAACCTCTTCCTCTCTGCACTGTCTCTCAGAGGCTGTAGGGGACTCTGTTTTAAAGTGCAGATATTGGTATCAGATGAACCTAGATGACCTAACGCATCCATTGGTACCAACTAGGTCATGATACTGTGTCAGGAAGGGGCTAAATAGTGCTAAAAATTAGGCTAAATTAGACTGTGCTTTTAATGGCCTAGCACCTTTAAAATGTTTAATATAACGTCTCCATTAGACTTTATCTATAGTCTGTTGTATTTATCCACTAAACTGGCACACCCAACTTCAAAAGGGGCCCTTGTCCTCTGAGCTTAAGATATCTGAATGTAAATAGGTTCTGTGGGCACCCATTAATGTCCCCTTTATGAACATGCCTACTTTATGCTAATACAGTTATTTGAATACTGTATAAATGTGTTATTTTCACCTAGTGTCCTTGTGTGTACTTTCATATAGTGTAATATTTCTGCATACTGGAGTCCATAAAGAGTATTGGGATTGCATAAATTGTCTATGACTAAAAAGCTGAGACTCTTTTTGGAAACTCAACCTCACTGTATAAAATGAATTATTTCCACTGACAGCCTTTATTACAAATATAATGCCATTGGGGTCCAACTTACACTGTTTTATCAGAACCGAGCCTCTTCAGTGTATGTTGCAGTTTATACTCTGCAGGGTGTTGACCGTGCCTTCCTATGTTGGTGCATGTAGTTGGGACATAGCTATCAGTCTTCCTCCAACTGTCTCACTTCCCTTAATTTGTTGTTGTACATCAAAATATAAGTTGCAGAAGCATGCTGTATCATAGTTGCACAAGACGTTAAGTCATGTTGCAGAAGTCCTCTGACCCAGTCAACCTTTTGTCCCAGTCAGGGTTCAAGGTTCATGGTTATTATTATGCTCCAGGCTCTAAAACTCAGGACTCACAAAGAGAGCCACTAAATAACTACAAAATATGGTTAAGAAAAAAAAAAAAATGCAGAAAAGAAAACTCAACTTTTACTATCATTAATGTACGTAAGTCATCATATCATTGTTGCATGGCTTGTAGCGGTCCGACATCATCCTGTGGGCAGTGGATTAGGATGTGGATACAAGCAGGGTTCTAAATTAACACCAGCCAAATGCGGGTTAAAAATCATTTTGGTGTTAATAAAAACTTTGTTTGTTTGGCCGGTGATGCATGAGGCAATCATGTCAGTCAGAGCCGCTCTACTGTTCTCGTTCCCTGGGCACTACTGACTACATGTCCCATGAACACTGTCGTGATGCTACGTGATGAGCGTATAAGACGCCCATTGCTGCGCGCAGGAGTGCAACCAACCAGCGCGAGAAACCATGGAAACTGAAAACACAAAGAAGAAGAAGAAGAAGAAGAAGAAGAAGAAGAAGAAGAAAAAGAATGAATGAACGGAGCAGAAACTATCAAAAGAAGGGAGGGAGCTAGCTAAAGTAAATTAAAAAGTAGCCTAAACTTAAACTAAATGCGGCGGTGGTTGGTTGGACAGACGTCTGGGGGCGAGAAGACTGGCGCTCACGCCTGAAAGGTGAGACCCTCTCTGACCCAGTTGTGCTCACCTGACAATCAAAGACTTTCGCAACCAAAGCCCATTGACATCTGGATGCTGACAGTTTGCAGCTCATGCAGGCCTGAGTTGTGTGCAAACATGGAACATGGAAGGAACTGAGGATGGCTAAGATTCAGATGGAACAAATGAAGTTCAGAGAGTGCTGAAGAAATTTGATGTGGTTTTTTTGTTGTATGCATGTACTGTATGTGTATGTATTGTACTTGGATTGTGTTAATAAAATCCAAAATGTAAAAATAATTCATTCAGCAGCACTCATCTCTCTTATCTAATCTTAATCTCTCTTATTTTCACTGGAAGAAGAAATTTGACTAGTGGAAATTCTGATTGGCTTCAAATTGGCTGGTAATCAAAAAAGTTAATTTAGAACCCTGGATACAAGGGCTGCACAATTCCTCCACCTGCTCCTTGGTGCTGGTGAGGCTTTCAAGGTGCAGCTCGTTGATGTTTCGGTGGAGCGGAGTCCAGCTCCAGACTTCAGACACTGAGACACTTACGTTAGTACTGTCCCTGCCTTAGTTGTTCCTTTCCTGTGTGTAGACTCTTCTAACCAACCAACTAACTTCTAATCATAAACCTTCCAGTCGTATGAAAATGTAACATTTTTCTGTTTCCTGTTGGACATTTTATCATGCTCTTCCTGACTTGCTCTTTCTTTCTGTTTTAATTTCTCTTTCAATTGCTTTAACTTTCTCAGATTGAAACTGTCAGTTGAAAGAAAACCACAATCAGCAGTTCCTCTGTGGCCCATAATTTGTTAACAATATACCGAACATTGGTTGAGTACCTGTGTTAAATAAACTGCACTTATATTGTGCCCACATTGTGAAAGCAACAAAATCACACTTTCTAACCTCAATATTTTTTCCTCTCTTTTGCACTTTCTCTAAATTGATCTTGAGGAAATTAATATCTCTCAGCTGAAACTCTCATTAGCTAGAAACCCAAATTTAGTATGTAAATGTATTTGGGGCTTTACGGAGGTTGGTCCATGTTGATTATACATATAAGCAGCCGGTCCCTTTAAGACCTGTATCAGTTGCACAGTTTCCCATTTTACTATCACTTAGCTATATTTTACCTCAATTAATTTCTCCAATATTGCCATTAGTAATAATATAATTGTTGTCACAGACACAATTACACAAGTATATGTCCCATTTTCGAATTGAATGTATTTTACTATTTTCTCTTTTCATGAATTCATTTATTCATTTATTTTTTTATTATTGTGTTTATTATAAGTGAAGAAATCAACTTGCTTACTTTGTTCGTGTACATATCAAAAAATACGTTTCAGAAGCACAGAGTATCATAGTTGCACAAGACACTAAGTTAATTTGCAGAAGTAGTACTCTAGATCTATATATGGTGATAAAATGTCAACATGAGCATGATACAGAAGTTTGAACAAAATACAATTATTTCAACACATACACATACTTGGGTCAGTCGAAAAAGGACATGACAGTGCAGTGGATGAGAGGATGTGCTAACTTTCAGTAATAGATTACTTTAATTCACCTGTGTCCTGAGAAAGACTTCAAGATGTGTTGGCAAGTTGACTAAATTAAAGCGTTACTTGTAGAAAGGGAATCAGTATCACCTGTGTGTGCAGCACAATCACAATGGCCACTTGTGAAGACAAGAGAAATGGCCTTCAAGGTAACAAATAGAGTTAGAGTCAGATACTATAATATTGGATTGGTTAACGAGATAATGAACAGTTATCAGAGTTAGAGCTAGTGTTGTGTTACAGAAGTGATCAGATGTGACACACAAATTGAACTTCACAATTGTAATCCATAACTATAGGGCTTATTGGTCCATTAGAATAGCTGTAATTATAATGGCTGGCCAACAGAAGCTGTTCCTGAAGGCATATAATAATCTGGTACTGATGTGAGAGCAGCCTTTAGGACTCTGAATACAGATGTCTTGTTTTGAGGTCATTGTTCAGTTTGCCCAGAGCAGCAGCACAAACAACATAGTCCATTTCAGTGTATGAGCACTTCTGTAGTGTGTGGAGGAGTTACTTTTGACATGTGCATCGTAGTATATTGTTCTTCATTTACTTGATAGTTAATAAAGATTCAATTTAGTCAACTTGTCAATAATACTACATTACAGAGGACAGGACCGATATAGGACAGAGGTTAGTGCTGTAGATATAAGGCATAGGTCACTGC